TAGAGCCTTCCTAATGGTCTATCATTGTGTCTCACCGATTTCAAAGTCAAAGGGAGTCAGCATATTGCTAGCCCATTTGGTTCCTTGGACTCTCTCCAAGGTGCTGCAGGACCCCAATGGCTGCTACCTTTGTGTAAAGGGGAAAATTGGGGACCTAATGGTCACATTTGCCAATGTCTATTTCCCTAATATGGACCACCTCCCCTTTCTGCGGGGTCTGGTCCCTGGTTTATTGGAGTTTATGGAGGGGACCCTGATCTCCTTGCACCCAAACCTTCATTTCACATATCACATCTGCGTTGGGTCAAAAATTGTCCCCATTGGATGCAATGGCATCAGAGTTTCTGTCCTTTATCTGGGGCTTATACAACTTAGAGCCCACACCCAAGTCTACCTCAACACAAACTCTCTCGTCTACCATACCTACACTACCTCCTTGGGTATGCCGATATTCCCCAGTTCAGTCCGCGAACAACTGGACTGCCCCTTAACTGCAGAAGAACTGGCAGCAGCGCTTTCTCAGTCGAAGCCGCAGAAGACCCTCCCAGACATCCGAACATACTATAAGGCTGCGCATCTTGCAAGAGTAACCAACCTGTCATGCAGACGCAAAACTTTGGGTCTCCATGGAGATGGAGAACTCCCAGGGTACTGCAAAGAGTTGGCCATGGATCATGTATCTGCTTTCTAGGGAGCTGTGTACACATCCCATTCTTTGTAGCACTCTCCAAGTAGCATGGGCAGCATTTTGAGCTACTACGGTTTCTCAACTTCCCACACCTATGATTCCTATTGTGGGTAACTCAGATTTTATACCTGGACTCCAAACTCCTCCACCACCTCCACTTCCAAGGTTATTCCCATTTATCTGACTTTTTAACATCTGGAGGGTGGTTGAGTGCCACAGATCTTACTTACCTGGTTGATCCCTCTCTGGACTTCTGGTGTGGACTGCAGCTGGGACACTTCTTCAGTCAGCTTTCTCTCCTTCCGGGCATCACTTGCCCACTAACTGAATTCTAACTGATGTGTCACAAGGGAGAACCAGCCCGCCATTCAATCTCCCTTCTCTATGCTATCCTAGCGCACCCTGGTGAGGATTACACGCCTCCCTTTCTCACAAAATGAGAATCGGTGCTTGGTATGAGTTTCACTCCCAGTCAGAGGGATAAAATTCTCCACTTTGCCCAAAAGTCCTCTATAACCACAACAGTTCAAGAATCTAGCTACAAGATCCTTACCAGATGGTACAGGGTTTCCTCCCTTCTCCACTGTATCCCACACACGGGAATTGCACTGCAGAAGGTAGGACCATGCTCCATATTTTTCGCTTGTGTCCAGGAATCCAGTCATTTTGGCGTGAATTGACCTCAGTTATCAAACAGCTTACTGCAGTGGATCTGCATGACAACCCCGTGGCCTGCCTGTAGCACTTGACGGAGAGACCGATCAGAAAGTACACATCTTCCCTGACAATTCAGCTCCTTTATGCAGCTAAGGTGTGTGTTCCACTCTGCTGGAGGAGCACTAACCCCCCTCAAAGGCTCTTTGGTTTGCTAGAGTTAATGTTCTCCATGATATGGAGGAACTTACAGCCACCCTGCACAATATGGAAGAGTCCTACACTGAAATATGGGGCCATGGAACTATTTTGTGTACACTGACACATACCTAAATGAACTGCCTGCTTTCCAGTGAGTCGATCCTGATGTATCCTGGGCCAGGAGAACGACCATCCTACTCTCCTTCTTTTCCTATTCTCTTTTGTCTTCTCTCTCTCCTCGCTTTCTCTCTTTCACCCCCTGCCTTTACCTCCCCCCTTCCCCATTTGGGATTTTCCAACTACTGGCCTATGAGCCATGTTTTTATTTTAACAGTGTCCCTAGAGTCACCGATGTATATAAGCTAAAGAGGAACATGCTATCCTGTTTTCCCCAGTTAGTCTTTATAGTTGGGTACCCACGTGATATGTTCCGGAACCTGGGGCCCGGTTTTGTGGAGACCTAACGACTCATTTGGTGATTTTACACTGTTCACCTGTAATTTCTGTACAGTCTTGCCTAACTCATATGTGATTGTATTACTTGAAAACCCACTTGTGAATGATCATTTGTTTGTACTTCATTTGATTTGTGAAAATAAAGGAATTACAAAATAGACACTCACAAGAATGCATATCGATGGGAAGTCGCTAGTTTGGACTGGCAAAGTGGTGTGGTAGCATCAGATGTAGAAACATAGCTCCCAACTCAGAGGCTTAAGGAAACTTTAAGAAAGGGGAGATGATGGACAGCCCTTGCAGTACACCAGAGCAAACAGCAGGAATAGCTGCATTGCACTGAATATAGGGCATATGCATTGGCCCTTGTACCCACAAATACTGCTGACACTTTCTATGATCCTACTTTAAAGTAAAATTTCATGAAAGCCTCTTGGCATGTCAGGATTGTGTAACATACCACATAAATGCATGGTATGCAGGGTTAAGCAGTATATAATGTAGCCTGCAGGGCACAGGGGTTGGTATGTACAACATAGCACACAGAATGTTGCAGTCAGAAGTATGAAGCAGACATCACAGCACATTGAATGCAGTAGTTAGCAACATTTAGTATATACCCCATACATTGCTAATTTGTAGGTGGCATTTTCTCCTTCTGCTAACTACTGACACTGGGATATTTTTTCTCACGTAACGGATTACTGATAGGAAAATTGCCGTACCATAGGTTATTAGGAAAAATACAAGGAAAAATATCCTGGATTTATGGGTCAGTGGGAGTAGGAATAACTGATGTTGGAGTCAGTGCGAAAAATAACGCTCCAGCATCAGGGTATAAAGAACGTTAAAAAATAGTCAGTGAGAGTAAAAATTACCCTAAAATCAGTGATAAATGGGAAAAAGAATACCCTTGGCAGTGGGAAGAAGAATGCCCTAAGATTGGGTACAATAAACCACTCCCTCATTGTCTTGGTGTAGTGGGAACTGCAATCCTCTCATTGTTGATATCCTGGTACTATAGAAGCCCAAACATGTGGTTTGTAAAAAGCATGCTAAGATCATGCATATAGACACCACCAAAATTGCTTGGACCAGCTATCATTTTGATAAGTGAAGCACCTGACAGGAAATGAGGGAAAATAAAAGAAAAAAAAAAAGCTGACTGAATTTCTAATGTTTCCTCACACTATCAAAAACAAAATATAAACTTCGGCTTCCTCTGGATTTTGAGTATATACAATGAAAATAGAAGATCTTAACATGAATATATGAAAAGGAAGATAAAATGTATCCAATCATACTGCACAATAAAAAAAAAATCCATATGCTCCTGATTTTATTAACATTAGTATCTCTCCATTGGTTTTTTAACAGAACTGACTATATAAGCTAATGACACTTATCATCTTTGAGTTAAAACGCTGTGAAATATTTCCGTAAAAACATACCTCATGTGTATAATCTTTAGCAGCATAGAAAACATTTTTTGGAATGATAATTTTCAGCAATCATGATAGATAAATCAAGCTTCCTAGTATTTAATTGAAAATACTCACTGATGCATTAATTAAAAATGCTATGTTGATTAGCATGAATCAAGAATTTCAAGATTGCACACATCTACCAAGGTCCCTTAAAGTTTCTTTTTTCTGTTTGCTTATATGCATTGTAACGCAAAACTGGATCAGAAGTTAGAAGTATTGGAGTTAATTGCTTTGTTTAGATGCTGGTTCCAGGACTTTGACCTTGGCCTACTTAGTCATTAAAGCGGCATTATACCCCAAGCCAAAATGTATTATATTGCAGCTTACCAATCATTAGATACAGTACCTGCATTAGTTTTCTTTTCTTTAGCTTTTCCCCCTCTGTTTTCACCTGGTGATCTGACCAGTAACACACCTCCTGTATTAGCGAGACACATCTTTGGGGACTGAGCACAAAAGGCACGGCAGACAGCAGCATTGTCAGTCAAGGGGGAGTGTTAAATGTACAGTATTAGCAGATTTAGAACCTCTCCAGCTCACTCTTTATAATCAGTTGCAGCAAACAGTTTTTTCCTTTTGGGATAAAGGTTTCACAAGAATAAACACAAGTTTATCATTATAATTGCCCCTGCCAGTATTGAGTGGTTTGTCTCTTTGATGCAAACTGATACATTCTGCTGGAGAGTTTGTACAGTAAAAAAACAACACATTTGCTGGCTGGATTACCAGATAAAGAAGATAGAGAGGCTAAAAAAGGGAAACTAATACAACCATCAAATCTAAGAATTGATAAGCTGCTATATAATAAATGTTTTTTTGGGGGGGTTTAACACTGCTTTAACCTGGAATAAGTAGATCAAGAGTCCCAAGCTCACTGGCTGCATGTTTAAGCTATGTAATTGACTCAATTATTTGAAGATAAAGAAGTAAGCCTCAGAACATACACCATAAAAACAAGCCAGGCATGTCTGCCTCTGCATTTCTAATCTAGCATGTTACCTTTAAGCGCTAGCCTACAGGGTACTTATACCCCTTTCCTGCCCAGGCCAATTTCCAGCTTTCAGTGCTCTCACACTTTGAATGAAAATTGTGCGGTCATACAACATTGTACCCATATGAAATTTTTATCATTTTTTTGGTGGTATATAATCACCTCTGGGTATTTTCTTTTTTCTTAAACCAAAAACCACTGAAAATTTTTTTAAAAAAATGTTTTTCTTAGTTTTTGTTATAAAATTTTGTAAATAAGGGATTTTTCTCCTTCACTGATATGCGTTAATATGGCTGCAGTGATCAGCACTGATAGGCTGCACTGATGGACACTGATAGGTGGCACTGATGGGCACTGATGAGGAGGCACTGGTAGGTGGCACTGATGGGCATTGACAGGCATCACTGATACATGGCACTGATAAATGGCACTGATAGGCGGCACTGACTGGCACTGATAGGCGGCACTGACCGGCACTGGCAGGCGGCACTGATAGGTGGCACTGATGCGCACTGATAGGTGGCACTGACTGGCACTGATAGGTGGCACTGATTGGCAGCTCTGATAAGTGACACTGATTGGCATTGATAGGTGGCACTGACTGGCACTGATGGGTGACACTGAAAGGCAGCTCAGATGGGCACTGATATGTGGCATTGATGTGCACTGGTAGGCACTGATATGTGGCATTGATGTGGCACTGATGGGCACTGGCACGATGCACTGATGAGCACTGACAAGGGCACTGATGGACACTGACAGGTGGCGCTGCTGGGGATACACTGATCATCAGTGTCCTGATGATCAGTGTACATGCCCCCTCCACGGAAAGCCGATTAACGGCTCTCCTCTCCTCTCAAGCTGTCAGCGTGACAGCTCGAGAGGAGAGAAATGCCGATAACCAGCATTTCCCAGTTTACATGTGATCAACTGTGATTGGACACAACTGATCACATGACCGAGCTGACATCTTCGTCTCTTTCTGTGATCGGTGATCCACTGTGTCCGAGGGACACAGCGCACCGCCGATCGCTGCGCGCTCCCTGAGCCGCGCATGCGCAGTGAGAATGGGAGGATGTCATATGACGTCCTCCCAGAATGAAAGAACCAGCTTGCGTCCGTCATATTACTATATGGTGGGCAGGAGATGGTTAAAGTGACCCTGTCATGACATAAAAGTATCCCAGACAAGTGCATCTGCAAAATAGGTGTAACCAATTGAAATGTTATTACTTCTAATACATTAAAGTGGACATTAGATGGCGGTGGCTTGCTATTCAGGGTTACTCACATTGACAGAACAGCCCTCTGGAACTTGTATTTCTGAACAGCAGGACTTGGCTGATAAGCAGAGTGCCTGGACTACATTTCCCAGGAGAGGTGGTGTGTTGGCAGGGGCATATAAATACCAAAGACCGGGAGATTGGCAAGGAGAGTGTGGAGGGAGATTGAAGTATGGGCCAGGATTGGGGAGAGAGAGAGAGAGAGAGTGAAAAGAACTCACTGAATTCCCGGCCTACCACGCTGCCAAGCAGGCCACTCTGACAGCAGAAGACAGAGCAGAACACCAAGTCTGAACCAGAGGCCCATGGACTGTCTTCATCCATTGGGAAAGTGGATCGCGGTGATCTGCCGAAGCACATTGATCGGGTGTGAGAGACCCATGCATCCACTAGCAAAGTGAACATTGATAGTTTGTCACCTCTGCTATCTACCTGCACATAGTTGTGAACATTGCATACCGTTGCCCCAGTTTGCAGCCTAGTCATACCAGTGTCTTTGTTGGAATACCTCTGCTGTGCAGTTATCATTCAAGCTGTCTGCAGAATATATAGTTACAGATCAAGATACAGTAGTGCCTACTGAATCAACCAGTCCCTTTTCCTTTCTGAAGAGCAGGATTCCTACTACTGTTCATTCTTTGTCTTTGACATTTGGAGGGGGTTGCCTCTGTCCATAGACATTTATGCCAATTGTTGCTCTTTACTACTTCCAGCTCAATTCATGGTGTGCTCATAAAGGTAACACCAATTGGGCCCCAACAAGCGCGCAGAAGACATTATAGAGCTCTTAAAGGGAATACTGCTGATTTTTAACTGAGAATTCTCTTTATTTCACATCCAATGCTTGGTATCTAGCACTGAGGATCCCCAGTGAGCTTATCTGGTATTGATAATCATTCCTGCACACTGGGGATTCAATAGTCCCCTCAGACTGGAGGCAGTGGATTATTTCTGAAAGCAGGCCTGCTAATAGATACTGTTGCTTTATTGAAAACTTCATTACGTTTGCTCACAATTGCCAAGGGTGATGATATTTACTGTCTATATCAGTGTTATTTTTTTATGAAGTGCAGCGCTAAAATCACACAAAATATATATGAGGTGGAACAATAAAGTGCAGCATATATAAATAGATGGATAAATAGCTTTGCATATATAAAAAAACAAATAGTAACAATAAATAAATTCCACAAGTAGAAAGTGCTGATCAGTGCAATAAAGTATATAAATAATGTCCGTGACTGTATATATCAAAATGATAAATATTATTCATCCAGCATACGTAATTCATAAAAATGTCCTTATGTTAATAATGTGCAAAATCGCCAAGTCCAGAGTGTGAATGTGTGAATATTCACATATGGAATCCACCACCTTTTCACATATGGAATCCACCATTTTGATTACATTGACTTATTAGTGTTATTTTTTTATTCTCAATTCTGCTACTTCCAATTCCAATATAAACTTCAATTTGGTTTGTACTACTCTGTGTCTGAGTCCATTTTACAGGTGTGATTTATCTGGGTCAGCAGAGCACGGTAGGTGTCAGCAGAGGTTGGGCTGTCAGTGAGAGGTCCAGATTGACAGGGAACCCAAAAATTACTAAGAACCCCTTAAGGGGGTAGTGCTACATAAGAGGGTAAACATATTTTCCCTACTTCCTGCATGACTAGAACACTGTTCCATTCAGTAGAAGTCCACAGGAAACCCTTCTGCTGGGCATGTCATTCCCATGGGTCCCCAACAGCTCTCACGGGTTCCTCTTGTTGACCTCCATGCCACCACAGTCTTTTGTAACCGACATGACATTAACTTCCATGTCCTCCAGAGTCTATTAAACAAATGTGATCTTATCAAGAATATTTAAATATAGATGAGGAAACAAACACATTTCCAATTTGAATAATATGTGAATAAAAATAATTAAACTAAAAACCGGTCTCTTGACAATCTGAAATAAATTATCCAGAGATCATACATACAGTAAACCCCATTTTATGGGAAGAGATGAAGAAGTGTTAAATAAAACCACTACAATGACACCTATTTTTCTGACTGTGTTTTGGACTCGGTCACTTACAGACCATTTACCGTGATCTACCAGTGAGCCAAATTAATATAGAATTACGTGCACGTGGAAGAAAGACACTGACACTGTTGCAGTTTGTCAACTTCCTAAAATTCTGTTTTATTGAGGAACTAACAGTATCATTTATAGGGCTTATGATGCAGGCAAAGCATATACATTGATTGGGTGAAAAGTCTACTGGGTTTCTGTTCTTCCATCCGTGTTGATATCTTACAATCAATTTCCCCAAAAAGACTCATTCCCTTTTATGGGGGTTGTTTACATTAAAAGATACTTTTCTCCTAATGAGTCACCTAGGGTGAGACTCCGGATGAAGGCGCCATCTTAATTATCATCATTGTTCTGTCAACCTATATCTGATTGTTTACTTAAGAGAGTAAGGAATTTTAAAGAGCAAGAAGCAGAAAGTAGCAAGACTATAAAAATTGCCATTTTACTGATCATCTAATAGAACGTGGACTGTCTATCACAATCCACTACAATCCCCCCTTAAAATGGCTATTTTATTCCTGACTGTCCCTATGTCTTCTGATGTCCTAACTGCCTGGTGGCCCTCCCCTTGGAACTCTTTTTCAACGCATATAGAGCCCCTGAGTGGCTAATCCATCCCTAGAGTCTCGATACATCCTGAGAAGGCCACAGTCAGGCACTGTCTTTCCCTGCTTAGAGTTGTCTGTTGGGGGGGGAAAGTTGTAGTATTCCTTTTTTTTTTTTTTTAAGTCTGAAAGTCTGAAATATGATGATCAGGGGCCATGGTCTGTAAGGGAGTATAGGATTCACTTTCTTCACGGGGGAGTTCAACATTGTTATAGTTCAGGAATGTAGGGGAGATCTCATTCACAGCTTTCCCTATTAGCCTCTTAATACAAGGGATCACACAGCAGGCGACTATTGCCATTAGAATGATAATACCCAGGATAATCACCCCTGCTTGGGCGAGGGCTTTCTGCCAGCCACTTAGCCATCCAAACCACTGATCCCAGGGATGTGTAATACCTGAGTTTTCCTTAAGTTCATTTGACAGGTCCTCCAACCTCTTGATGGCCAGCGTCACCTTCCCATTTGGGCCTGTGTTATCAAACACCAAAAAATAAAAATAAACATACAGACCTTATCGCCACATCGACATTTAAGGCCCACATGATTGTTGAACATTTAATGAAGCTTTTTACAATTGATCTGTTTAAATCTGTTGAGGTTAAAAGACACAGGCATCACTTTCTATAAATACTAAAAAAGAAGATTTTTGCTTTTATCAGCTGAAATTTTAAATCCTCTCATCTGTATCATATCTATCATTATTTAGCCTTGCAGCTGGATGTGAGCACTGTGGTCTAGCTGTGTTGTTAGTTTTTGTGCAATACCTGTATAAAACAAACACATATGAAGACATTTTGATCCATAATGATTTGAAAACAAAATATACTGCAGTAGATATCATCTTTTAAAAAAAGACAGCTTTCATTCTACTTCATTGGAATATGTGCATTGAGATTTGATGGTGCAAAGGCAATGCAGAGTTTAATGTCTGCAGATACAGTGAGTCTTTGGCCCAACATTCTTGTACAAGCAGTTATTGTCTACTCCCCAGAACACATTTGGATGTGAAAACCTTGCCTAAAAGACATATTTAACTTAATTTCACTGCCTGGGCCATACCATATTTTTTTTTTTTGAATGTTAGACCCATAGGGGTTGAATAAGTCAATGGTCACACCGCTGCGATTTAATTTTGTGCGATTTTTGTGCAATTGTGATGCGATTTCTGAAGACGTCATTGCTACTTGTGAAGATTTTCAATGATTTCTTGCAATTTGCAGTGCAATTTTCATTATATTCTATGTATGAGAATTCGCAACCAAACTGCAGAAAAAGTAATGCAAGAACTACTTTAGAAATTGCGCTGCAGAAAATTGCACATATTAAGACATTGCAATTTGCAAATTGCACCTGAAATCGTAGCGATATGACCAGCACTAAAACTGGAGAGTGCAACATCTGGTGCAGCTGTGCGTGGTAGCCGATCTGCTTCTAACTTGAGCTTGTTCAATTTAGCTTTGATTTAAAAGAAGCTTGAGGCTGATTGATACACCAGATTTTGCACTCTCCACTTTTAGTAAATCAACCCCATAATGTCACCTCTGCTCTCTGCTGAAGCTGGCAGCCAGGGGTTGACAAGAAAAACAGAGTCCCGGCTACTTTACCTGTTGGGACTTTGTTTACATGTCAGAGCATGACAACAATGAAAGGTTTAATTTTTTGTGGCATGTCAAATATGGGACATAAAGTGCAGTAAATACAAGGCCTTTCAGGTAACATTGCAATGGGATGGATAGTGACTGTATGTATATTGTTTTTTTGTATTGTTTGTTAGTTATGTTGTGCTGGTATAAACATTCATATAATGCAGTGATATTCATATGTATCTAATTAAGACCAGAACAAAAGCAAGTAATTCAACACAAAGCACACTTATCAGTTTTATGTATTGCAACGTCAGTTTACAGTACATTGCACACATTTTTTAATATACTGTATCTGGAATATCAAACATATTAAATTTATCTCTTCAGAGCAAAAACACCA